GCATAGTTACTGCAATGGCAGTAGCAGTTGCGGTACCACACTCGGGAAAACCCCCTAAGATACTGATTCTAAGTTAGTGAGTTTTGGTCAACCTTTGGAGTTCAAATACCTCAAAATATTGTACAGGGTCTCCAAATGCTAAAGGTCATTTAATTTTCTAAAGAAATTTTTTTGCAGAACGTTAGTTAAAATGTTTTCGTAGCAGTTTGAAATGTTTTAGTATAAAAGTTAAAGAAACTTCCAAAAGTCAAGATTTTGTCTAGCTTTTTAGGCGTAGAGGGGTCAACTTTTGGTATGTTTGCATGTTCAAAACTTGTTGATGGGCTGCAAAACTGTGATGCAAAACTTTTTCTGAATCACTTCTCAAATCTTACAGATTTTGAAAATGAATATTTTTTTACATCTTTTTATTTTCCCGCCCCATGCAAATTGAGAGGACAGAAGGGTTAGTTATTTATTGTATATTTCTTGAGCTCAAGTCGATCGTCCAAAGACTGTTATAACACCTTGATGACCTCTACCTTGACAGGAGTTAGCTAAAACTAAAATGCAATTCATTCATAGTTGTTGCAGCATAGGGTTGCACTGAAATTGCAACTTTACTTATCTGTTTTCAAGTCTACATCCTTGAAGTGAAGTTCGCTGCTCGTATCTTAACGATTGATGTATTAGTTTTGCAACCGTTTTTCGACCCACGAGGGAAAAATAAGTTCACATTCAGATTGCCGCCAGGCGCAAGGTTTGTAAATTAATTTCCCGAGTGTGTGAAAAAATAGTTGCGAAATTGCTTTAGTCAACGAAAAACTTATATATTCAGGATTTTGTTCACTTGCGTTTCACATGCTGAAACAGTTGTTTTCTCACTTTAAAACATGTTTTCAAACTACCCCTACTTGCGACCGTGCATGTAATTTCACGCCGATTGAACCCACGCTGCAGTTTTTTAACTAGTTTTGTTCATACAACAATTTTACGTTATGATCTCTACAAAAAATGCGCGCAAAACACACGTATGAAGGCACGCAAAAGTTCTAGTATTTGTCGTCAGCAAGAAAAAAGCCTGAAAATCATTGAAGAAACGTGCCAGAATGAAATTTAAGTCTTCAAAATATTTAAAATCCAGCAAAGTAAATAAAAAACTAATCTATGAAAATGACCATTTACAAAAAAATTTGAACAAAAAGAATCAAATAACAAAAAAGTCAAACCACAAAGTATTGTCAACGTAACTGCAGATGGTAATGTTATAAACTCCCACTCTTCCAAATTTGCTTTACTTTCCTGACAAATCTGGACTGAAATTGTTGATGTGAAAACTGATATTTGAGAGTTTTTCAAAAAAAAACTCTTTTTTTTAGCAGCAGGAGCCCTTAGATATCAACACTTTAACATTTTTTTTTCTAAAACATCTTCCCAATTGGTTGTTTTGGGTTGCAATTTTCTAACGGAGTTCTTTTTTGAGCAATTTTTTGCTCGTTTTTCTAATTTAAAATTAATTTAAATCATGAAATTATAAAATTGAAACATAGAAAAAAAATTGGGTGGTACTTGTCTTATTTTTTGGCCTTCTCGACCAAAAGCAGGTATGTTTCGACTGTGCTCGACCTATGTTTTGACTTTTTCGTCCCAAATTTGATATTTATCGACTCTCTCGGCAAAGTCGTTTTTTTTCGACTTTGTGCTCGACTTAAAATTGCTTCTCGACCGCAGAATTTCAGTCGCAGAACTGCAACTGCTCGACTTTCAAAGTCGAAACATAAATCAAGCACCTTTACCCGGGTAGTTTTAGTTATACGTCGCTTCCAAGTTAATCTATTCACTAAACATTGAAACTTAATAATAACGGTTTTTGCAACAACTTTCGGTCGAGTCGATCAAAGTTAGCATGCATTTACCTAACGCGCAGTGGAAAACCTTGTTGCTTCAGTCAAATTGGTCAAAAATATTTGCCAGATTGGGTTGACAGGGTGAAAACATTACTATTTTTGGTCGATAAACTCGAAATATAGGCCAAACAACTCGCTTTTGTGCTTTATCATCAATCAAATTTAAACAAATTTCCTTATATTCTAAAATTGAAAAAATGCCAGGGAGAAATCCATTGCTTTGAAATGAAATTAGTTTTTCATGATGCTAAATTATGACAAACTTACAATACTAAGTGATTGATGTACTGGTCGTGAAAGATAATCGTTCTCAAAATAGAGTCTAATTGAAAGGCAACCCCATCATCGAATTTCATTAAGAAAAACAAAGGATAATTTTGTGAAACATTCAAAGGTTATTAAATATCATTCTTAAGAGCTTAATAAGACCCATTTAAAATTATCCTAATCAGGAAAATTCATTTTTTTTGATATTTTGAGCTTCGAGGAATTTTTTTCAAGAATATTTGCTAGAAAAAATGCAAAGAACATGAAAAAACCAAAGAAACAAGGTAAAAAAGTGATGATTTAATAAAGAGTTATAATTAAGATACTTGAAAACTGCCAAAGACTTGAAATTTTAAAAATGCAGAGAAAAACGTGATTCAAAACGTCAGGTCAAGTTGATTTTTCTAATTTTTTCGCAATGAAGTAATCTGTCAAAAACTTCAAACGCGCGAGATCGCTTAACAATGTGAAATGCAACCATTGAAACTTGAATTGACTAATTGAATCTACTTAAAAAGAAAATCTTCCTGTAAGTATATGTGAAACCCAATAAAAGATAAATCTGGCACTAATTTCCTCGCTAATGAGCTTAAATTCAACACCCTTTCCTATTTTTCTTTTCACGTGAAAAAATTTCAAAAAATCGTTTCAGTGAGTTTAGCCGAATAAAACCTTGACAACAAATTTAATTTTGGGAATATTAAGATTGATGATTTCTTAAAGTGCAGACGTTTTCTTGATGATTTTCTTGATTACTTTTCGTAACACTTTCGTCTTTGAGTTTGGTTGGGTTGAGACAAAAATATTAAAATTTTTCAAATTGGAAGATTTGGCATTCTATAAATATCACTGATTCTGAAAACTGATAATCGAACATTCATTGCCATTCAGATGTTTTTGTAAGGTTTCACCCTTTTTGCTGAAGCTAATTTAATGCCTCAATTTTACTATTGTCTTTGACATTTTTTTTGATTATGATGGTTTTTGGCAGAAAGTTTTGAAAAGATCATTTCAAATTGAAAAATATGTCGATGTTAGTTGCTTCGGAATATTTATACTTCGTTTTGATGAACAACCGTCAGTCATGGATTTTGGGGATGCCATTTGCCTCTTGAATTTAATGAATTCATTTAATTTCTTAATATTTCCTACCGAAAGGATCACTTCTGAAATTGATGGTCCGACCTACATCCATAATTTAAACTGCAACTAGACCTATAAAAAGAACACAGACCATCAATTTACATTTTCTTGATCTCTAAATTGGTCTAATTTGTCAAAAAGTGCCATTTTTATTATCTATTATTAAAAACATCCGGTGAGTATAATAAATTAATAACCATTTAAAATGGAAAATCAAATGTTCAGTTCATCAAAAGTGTTATTTTAAAGAGAAATACTGTTTAAGGAAAAAAATTATATTTAAATTTAGAAAAAAAAACAATTCCATTTTTTATTTTAAACACAAAGTGATATAAAGCAAAATTCTGGAAACTTAATCGAACATATTGTAATTTGGTTGATCTTAATTGAGTTAAAACTTCCGCTTTTCTTAATCTAGATGACTCTTTCAAATTTACCCTATAGTCAACGTGATTTTAAGCCATTAATACTTACGATTTACGTTATAACTTGGCTCAATTGCTTCAAGTTTTGGCAGGCATGATGTTTATTGCCCATTTGGCAAGCATTTTACGTTTCCGACTTTCGATACGAAAGTAACGATATATTTGTGCTCTGGTGGTTTTTTTTTCACTTTTTAAGTAGCAATTTTTGACGGAATTATTTTTATATCATTCAAAGGGTATTGTTCTCCTGAGCTTAAATTTGAAAAGATATTTCACCTGTGATCATTTTTTGTAAAGTTATGGGGTTTAAAGATTGCCATTTTGGCCAATTTGGGACAATTAACGCGCGATATGTTTCGCGCTATTAGTGAGTAAGGCGATATTTAACCCATCTTAGAGATCGTTCCAATTTGTTGGAAAAAAAGTTCATTGATTAGTTACAAGGAGCCAAATCTATCCTTTTGTACTTAACGTGGGGGGATGATTTTCTTAAAAAGTTTCAAATTTTAGAAAAAAAAATCTTTATTTTATTACATTTAATTTTCTAAGGTTTTTACTGCTCCATAAACCTTAAAAGGCAGTCGGAACATTCAGGGCTTTGCCCTGATACGAGCAGTCTTGTTATCTTTCTCTACAAAATTAGCAGCTTTGAAAAAAGGAGATTTGGCCCCTTTTTTCAAAAACTCTAATAATTT